TGTTTCTCTAGTTTCTACAAAACGCTTTGGGATCATTCATGGACAATCAACAACAAGNCTAATCAAATCGAAAGAATCCTCGTGTATATTGTGCTATGAATCAGTGTTGTTGTGTTGAAAGAGTTGAACAAGTGACCAAAACACTTGAAGCCTAGTCACTTGTGGCTTTGCCTCTACGATGAAGTGTGACCAAATCTGTCCTTGTCTTCTTTCCATCACTCCTTTGAGTATGTTCAGACCTAAACCTCTTATCACATCTGTCATCTCAAGAAACTGACCACTCTCCTCGCACAACATCTCTATCTCCATTTGTCCTTGCGGCTTCAATTCCTCCACGATGATCGGACATACCACCGATGTTGATGATGATTCATCATCCCCATTCACTTCCAACGCCCATGTTCTCTCTTTCTCCTTCACCATCTGAATCATCATTATCATATATTTAGTACTCATACAACAAAAAGATAAGAATAACAAAGATTTTGAATTTTTGATGCAACTCACCTTAGGCTCGTATGGTTGTTTGAGTTTGTCTGCGTATTTGGCGATGCTTTGCATGAACACCATGTGCTTTATCGTCAGATCAAGAAGCGTATCAATGCTACACTGTTCAGAATATTCATATACTATTATTAGAGACATTAATATTAAGACATTAGTTCACTAAACTAACTAAGATGTTTGTTTGTTATTACCTTTGATCCATTTGGAATCATCCCTCGTAGCTCCTTGATACGGTCTTGTATCATCTGACGATCCTTAGGCCTCGGTCTCCTACTTTCCCCTGCCTTTGCTCTTTTCTTCTTCACTCCTTCTTCATGTGGCTTCTTCCAGTTCCCTGCAACGCTTGATCTCTCCTCATCGATCCACAAGCTCCTCTCATGTCTTGTTACTGTCTCCTCCTCCTGAGGAATCATCTGTGGGAAGAAGCTTGAGCTCTGAGCTGATGATGTTTCAAGTTTCCGTTTTTTGCTCTGGTTCAAACCAGAGTAGTAATAGTCTTCTAGCACATTTGTGAGAGAAGAGCTACTACTAATAGTGTTGCTGCTAAGGCTGCTGCTTATGAGCTCAGAGAAGAGTCCTTGAAATTTAGGAGGTGAAGCCAAAGGTGTTGCAACAACTCCTTCATGACTAACCGAGGAGGAATCTCCTGAACTGATCCCCAAAATGTCGAAAAGATCCTTGTCATTTCCTTGGATCACCATTGAATTCTCCTCCTGATGATGATGATCCGAAAAGCATTTCCGTTCTGGTGAATCAGCGAGGAGCTGGTACAGATCGTCCAGAGAGTAAGAGTTGAGAATGTCGAATCCGAAGTCATCTGATCCATTGGTTACATCATCAACTTGGAGTGAACAAGGGTTTAGAGGTGCTTCAGTGACAATCATCTCAGGGCTGAGCAAAGAAGGAGGATTGTCGTCTCTGAAGATGTCATCAAAGCTGAGTCCTTGAAGAGAATCAGGGACAATCTCACAAGCTCCGAGTGGTACTAGAGAATCGAACAAAGTATCGAGCTCAACCGATTGATCTGGCTTCAAACAAATCTCATGCACAGCTCTTGTTGTTTGTCCCAACATCTCTGAGCTCTCAAGAATCTAAAGATTCAATAACCACTAATTAGTCCATGACTTCCAAAGCAAGAAAGATCAATTCACTACCATATCCAAAAACATTTGCTACTTGTATACATATATACAAACCTTTTGAGCAGATCCTAACTGAACAACGCCGATGGATGCCACTGGAATGATTGCGATAGTCTGTAAATAAAGATGGAAAACCGCATATAAGAATCTAAAATTCAAATGTATATGGATAAATCACCAACTTTGATACAATTTGATTACCTTAAAGCCAGAGAGAAACTGATTCTGAAACTCATGCTCACACTGTAAAAACAATCAAACACATAATAAATATCATGAAATGTCCAAATGTACTAAATATATATATAGGTCAGAGAAAACCAAACCTGAAAGAGTAATGTGCCTGAGAAGAGCCACTTATGGTTTCCGGTTAAAGCAGCTTCTCCCACGATTCTGGAGTCATCAAGAAAAGAAAAGACTAATCAATGAAAGATCCACACATAGCTACATCTATATACATATGTGAGATTGAATTGTAAAGCTTACCCTTGGCCTAAGACATGAGGCTGGAGAATCATATCATCAACCACTGCCACTGATTGTTCATCATTGTATGCTTCTCCAAATCTCAGTAACCTGAAATCATTCAAGAAAGAGAATTCAAGGAAATTAAATTAGGACACTAAGAATTCTTTGTCAAAATGAACTAACTAGTTTTTATGGAAATCATCTCTTAACCCTAACTA